GAGAGAGAGCGAGAGAAAGAGAGAGAGAGAGAGAGAGAGAGAGAGAGAGAGAGAGAGAGAGAGAATCTTGGTGATGTTTTGACAAGGTCCCACTCATCATCTTCAGGCTGGTGTCTTCGGCTTCGTGCTTGTGCGAAGAAAGTGTGATCGGAGCTGCCGTCTCTCTATAAATACTGGTGGGGAGGTGTGGGGTGCTGGCTTTGTTGCTGTGAGCGGGTTGGTTGCCTGTGTTGTTACATCTTGATTGGTTGATGGAGTTGATGTTTGCAGATTAGTCAGCTGTTTCTATCATCCTGTGTGGGTGAGGTCCTTGATGTGTGCCCATTAGTCTTTTGTGTTTTAACAACCTGGGTAATGGGCTGTGTTCTAGTGTTGTGATATCCTGAGTTTTTTGATGTAATGTCGTGAGCAGATGGCTGTGATGCCACATCCCGGGGTTTGGTTTGGCTCCGAGTTTGAGGTCTTGCCATGTGTCCATGGCGTGTGTCAGTTTGCTTTGTGTGGGGATCTGAGGGGGGTGCAGCAGCTGGTGATGCCGCCGTGGTCTGGCTTCTGGATGGTGATTGTATTTCATCTATGGGATGGGTTTGGGTTTGAATCTGGTGAGGATGATTGGTGGTGGTGTCATGTGTTATCTTGGGTCCGGTGTTAATCTTCGTGGCTGGGACTCTTCTGTTGACTAGGGCTAGTTTCCAGATGTCCGGTAGGCGGGAGGTATCGTCACGTTTATTCATGTTATGGGGGTATTTCTCTATTTCGATGGCTTCCATGATTATTCTCTTGTTGAAGTGTTCAATTTTGGAGATTAATTTGGTTTCTTCGAAGTCAATTTCGTGTCCTGTTGTTTTAAAGTGCTGGAAAAGGGAGGAAGTTTTTTCTTCTTTTCTGACTGCATTCTTGTGTTCTGCAATGCGTGCATTTATTCTCCTATTAGTTTGTCCAATGTATGTGGCTGGGCAGATTTTGCATGGTATTTCATAGACTCCTTGGTTTTCTAGCTGGATCTTGTCTTTGGGGTTTCTTAATATGTTGGCTATTTTTTGGTCAGTGCAGAAGGCTGTCTTGATATTGTGTTTGTGGAGAATTTTGCTGATTTTATCTGTGGTGTCATTGATGTAAGGGAGGAGGGTGATGCCATTGTCCTGTTCTGTGTCTTGGTTCTTGGGGGGTGTCTCCCTTTGGATTAGGTTGGTAATTGTGTTTCTTTAGAATCCGTTAGAGATTAATACGTTTGTGAGAGTGTATAATTCAGTTTTCAGGTGGTCTTTGTCGGCTAGGCATTTGGTTCTGGAGATGAGAGTCTTGGCTATGGAGTTGATCTGTGCAGGGTGGTGATGTGATTGTGTGTTTAAGTAGCGATTGGTGTGTGTTTTTTTCCGGTAGATGGTGTGTCCTAGGGAGCCATTGGGTTTTTTGTAGATTAGGACGTCCAGAAAGGGTAGTTGGTTGTTAGCTTCTATTTCCATAGTAAATTGTATTTTGGGGTGTAGGCTGTTGAGATGTGTGAGGAAGTTGTCCAGTTTTTCCTTTCCGTGTGGCCAAATTACGAAAGTGTCATCTACATCTAAGCCAGAGTTTGGGTTTGTGTTCAGATTTATCTAAAGCGTTGGTTTCAAAATGTTCCATGTATAAGTTTGCGATGATAGGTGAGAGGGGTGATCCCATAGGTGCTCCTTCTATCTGTTTGTATCTTTGTCCATTGTGGATGAAGTATGTGTTGGTTAGGCAGTGGTTGGTCAGATCTAGGATGTGCTTGGGGGGGTTGTATTTGTTTTGGATAGCTGTCAAGGCTTCTTTAATAGGTATTTGGGTGAAGCGGGATATGACATCGAAGCTCACGAGTAGGTTGCTGGGTTGCAGGTTTTGTTTCTTTACTGTTTCTATGAAGTGGAATGAGTTTTGTACGTGTGAGGTAATGGATTCTGCGTAGGGCTGAAGTTGTTTGGCAAGAAATTTGGCAAGATTCTGTAGAGGTGAACCTATGGAGCTGACTATGGGTCTGAGTGGTGTTCCTTCTTTGTGTATCTTGGGGCGGCCATAGAGCTTGGGGCATCTGGATGATTTCTCTCTGGGGATGATTCTTTGCTGGATCTCTTCACTGATGGGAGAGGCTTTTATTTTGGATTTGGTGGTTTTTTTCCAGGTAGGTGGTGGGGTCTGTGTTTAGAGGTTTGTAAGCGGGGTCTTGGAGTAGATTGGATAGTTTAGCTTGGTAGTCAGATGTGTTCATCATCACTGTGGCATTACCTTTGTCTGCTGGGAGAATGATTATGTTATTGTCTTTCCTCAAGTTGGTGAGTGCTTTTTGTTCTTCTTTGTGTAAGTTGTTTCTGGGTGGATTGCTGGAGCAGAAGATGGTGACTTCAAGTCTGATTTTATAGGCTTCATCTGGGTTGATTTTGGTTAGGCTAGCTTCAACTACGCATATGATGTTTTCAGTGGGGATGCATTTGGGGGCGACTGCAAAGTTGAATCCTTTGGAAAGGACATTGGTTTCTGCTATGGTGAGGGTCCTGTCTGATATGTTATGTACTGTTTGTTTCATGAGTTGCTGTGGAGGGGGGTTGGGCTTCTGGCGTTTTTCTAGTCTGTGGGGTTTGTTGGTGTGTCTGTCTGTCTTGTGGGAGGTTTCTGTTTCGGCTCTCCAGAGGGCTAGTTGTTTGGATTTGTTCCAGAGTGCTGGATGGATTTTGTTACTGAGTTTGAGGTGTAGAGTGAGTAGGTCCCTGTTGGTTTGGCCTAGTAGGAATCTTTTCCTGTGGAGTTAGTTTCTGATTAGGACTAATTCGGTTCTTTTTAGGATCCTTTCGGTGGCTGAGGTTTTAGAATGGAATTTTATTTGGAAGCATGTGGGGATCACGTTTTTCTCTCGGCAGTTGTGTAGGAATGTGAAGTCACATAAGATGGTATCTCTTCAGACTTCGAGTTTCTTGTAGGTCCTGGTCAGCAGGAAGGTTTCCTTCCTGTAGAGGTAAGATATTTGTTTTCGTAGATTTTCATGGGTAGAGGTATGCAAGTTTTGGTGTATTCGGGTCTTTTCCTGTGTAAGATTGAGAGTATCTTGGCGATGTTTTGAAGGAACCAAATTAATCTCCAAAATGAACACTTCAACAAGAGAATAATCATGGAAGCCATTGAAATAGAGAAACACCCCCATAACATGAATAAACGTGATGATACCTCCCGCCTACCGGACATCTGGAAACTAGCCCTAGTCAACAGAAGAGTCCCAGCCATGAAGATTAACACCGGACCCAAGATAACACATGACACCACCACCAATCATCCTCACCAGATTCAAACCCAAACCCATCCCATAGACGAAATACAATCACCATCCAGAAGCCAGACCACAGCAGCAACACCAGCTGCTGCACCCCCCTCAGATCCCCACACAAAGCAAACTGACACACGCCATGGACACATGGCAAGACCTCAAACTCGGAGCCAAACCAAACCCCGGGATGTGGCATCACAGCCATCTGCTCACGACATTACATCAAAAAACTCAGGATATCACAACACTAGAACACAGCCCATTACCCAGGTTGTTAAAACACAAAAGACTAATGGGCACACATCAAGGACCTCACCCACACAGGATGATACGAAACAGTTGACTAATCTGCAAACATCAACTCCATCAACCAATCAAGATGTAATAACACAGGCAACCAACCCGCTCACAGCAACAAAGCCAGCACCCCATACCTCCCCACCAGTATTTATAGAGAGACGGCAGTTCCAATCACGCTTTCCTCGCACAAGCATGAAACCGAAAACACCAGCCTGAAGATGACGAGTGGGACCTCATCAAAACGTTGCCAAGATACTCTCAATCTTACACGGGAAAAGACCTGAATACACCAAAACTTGCATACCTCTACCCGTGAAAATGTGTGTGTGTGTGTGTGTGTTTGTCAGATGGTCACCATTTGCAGTCTCCTGCCAACTTCCTTATTAATTTGGGGAAACTGGAGTCTGGAAACACAGCCTTCTTTAACAGAATAAAAAGGGGATGTATATTATCACCCATAGAGTGAGGAATAACCCTAGCTTTGGCAATCTATGGGTAACAGCTCATTTACTTGACTTAGATTTTGCGGATGACATCGGGATGCTTGCAAGAAATGACCATCAATTTAGATAATGTGGTATTAAACAAAATCAAGGAAAATGAATCCATGGTCACAAATGGTCATAAGTCACAGTTTTTCAGTGCCATTGTAACTTTGAATGGTCACTAAACCACTGTTATAAGTCGAGGATTACCTGTATTTTGTTACCACTCCCTCTTTTCTTTACAAGAAGAGGGAGGGAGGGAGGGAGGGAGAGAGGGAGGGAGGAAGGAAGGAAGGAAGGAAGGAAGGAAGGAAGGAAGGAAGGAAGGAAATACACGTATCTAAATTCTTGTATGATTCTTGGTGTGTGGTGGTTTTATGCCTGTGAAAGAGGATATGAAGAAAACTATTAAATATTTATTTATTTACACAATTTATAGGCTGCCTGATTTCCAATGACAATAGTTGGCTTACAATTAAAAATAAAAAATACAAAACACTCACAAAAAAAATCATAAATGCCTTCCCCCAAATAATATATAACTCAAAAAATCTCATTCAGCAGCTACGTTAATATTTACTCTGTCACAGAGTCTATAAGAATAGTCAGGTCATTTACAGCTTCCTGAATATCACCAAGATGGGAGATATCAATCTCTGAGGAGATATCATTCCAGAGGGCAGGTGCTATGACAGAAACAGTACAGTTCCTGGGTCTTGAGCATCACCACTCTACCCAATTACACAGGACAGGCAGAATCAGGTAAAAAGAAGTGTTACATCAAACAACCAGGCCCTCTGCCATGAAAAGCTTATAGGTGATAACCAGGACCTTGAATTGCACTCAGAAGCCAAATGGTAACTAGTGCAGTTTACAGAGTGATTATGTCACACTGGCATAATGCTAGTGTCACTGCATTCTGGATCAACTGCAGCTTCAGCCTTTCGTGAGGTGACTAGAGTGTGAATGACCATTTGAAGAGTCTTTCGATCCAGAATAGGAAAGTTAACTAAGGGAAGGCAAATGTCAAGAACTATGTTTTGTCTTGTTATGTTTGCCACTGGACAAAATCTGTTCCAGATGGCTTGCTGCAGCAGCTGAATTCCCCTTTGCAACTTTCAGACACAGTGCCAATGGATTTTATTACTGCTCTATCTCTGAAAAAGAAGTACGGTATACTGCCATCCTAGAAGTGGTGGATTTGTTTAAAAAGATAATTCATTTCATTTCTTGCAAGGGCCTCTGATCTGTTCAAAAAACAGTACAACTTTTTTAGAACATGTGTTTAGGTATTGTCTCATCTCATAGATCTCAATTTACCTCCAGATTTTGGAAGGTCCTTTCCCAAATAATAGATGTAAAAATGCATTTGTCATTTATTCAACATCTAGTGATGAACAGATAGGTTGAATGACTGAATCATATGCAAGAACAGCATCCAGAGTTATGTTAACATCCACAGAGTTATCAACAAGACAATTCGGCTGAGTTAGTTGCCACACACAGATTTTGCCTATAGAAATTTAGTAATCCTTACATTGGCATGTCTTCTTTACAGGTGACTTATAGTTTCTATCCAAATGAAACTCTTGCATCTGACGTTTTTCATAATCCAGACTTCTTGTGGGAGAGGCAAACTATACAGCATCTCTTAAAGAACAGCTAGATTTCGTAAAGGTTACATACAGGTGAGTTGCAGATACAGACAAGAGAAGCCCAAGAGGGTTTTGTTATGGCTCTTTATTAAGTTTTCGATTGTCCAAGGAGCTGGACTCAAAATTTAATGGCTCGTTTCCAGTGGTTCAGTATGTAAATTCCAAGTGATCTTTCATTTCAAATTGCCTGCATTGATGACAATTGATCCCATTTTGTATCAGTTATTGTTTCTGTTGGGAGCATATCCCTGTAGTTTATGCCTGAATTTAACTTCACATCCTGCTGTTCTGTTTGTGGGGATAAGTTTGGAATTTCCAGAATGTGTTACCCCTGTTGTTGGCAATCTCAGACTGATCCGGTGGGGAGGGAGGAATAAGGAGTTTGTTCCCTTCTGTATATGTATGCATGAATGCTTGCTTATTTATTCATTACCTATTCTTTGAGAGGGGGAATATATTTTATTTATGAATTTATAAATTGCTTTAATCTAGGCCTAAATGGAAGCAGCAACTTCAGCCTAAGCAATAATAACAATAAATAACAATAAAATGCCACAATATACAACAAATATACAATTATGGTAAAATAAAATTAATATAAAATTCTGAGGCATCAGAATGAATGAAATCTCAAAGGGCTTTTGTAAAGTCAAGTTTTTATGAGCTCTTAGAAAGTCATAAGAATAGGAACTACTCTTGCCTTGGTGACCATTTGTTTTAGAGGACAGGGTTCCCCAGAGAGAATGCCCCTCTTGGGTCTCCTTCTATAGCAGCACTTGTTAAGTGAGGACATTCAGCGGGCATTCTGTGTCATCTATGGGATGACTTGTCCCATAGATAAGATTGTTCTATAGATAAGGAGTACTGAAGCCAGAAAGAGCTTTACACATAAAGCGCATTGCACTTTGAAAGTATCAGTAAATAGTACAACGCCCATAATATTGCTCAAGTAATTCTACCTGCAAATAAGTTGGCCACTGTATTTGGCACAAATGAAAGCTTTCAAGTTATTTTTAAAGCCCATCACATGTACTGCATGAGTTACCATCACCAGAACATCCTAAGCCAAACTTTAACTGGTTCACCATCTGGTATCTGGTGAACAATTATTGGTCAAGACGAAAAGGTTTAGTGAGAGATTCCAGATTAGTACCTGGGGTCTGACAGAGAGGTACAGGTAAGGGAGACCCTTGAGGAGATATTTTGTATGAAGCTGAAAGAAAGTCTGAATAATTAGGAAATATCTTATTTGAAGATAAACTCAATTCCTGGAACACAGGGAAATAAAACATTGGAACACTTGTTGTCAAAAACTTTTAATTGGGTACTCAGGTTATAAAGAATGCTGGAATAATGGGTTCATTTGGCTGGAAATGAATGGCAATGCAATATTTAGGCTACAACTAGAAAGTCTATGAAATCCTGTGAAAAGTAATTGGGAACATTATCCATGCTGTTAGTTAAAGATTTTATAGATAAGATGAATACTTGTTAGCTAATGCTCTTGGGCTCATCTCATTAGCTTTGGAAAAAATCTCTTACTTTGGACTACTTATTTAATTTCTCAATTAATTAATATATGGAAACTTTTCTTAGGACTAGAGCTTGAATCTTATCAGAAGAACAATGTCTCCAAAAGCTTATTTAAAAAAATAGCACCACCCTCTTGTCCCTCAAATGGAAAATGTCATTTATAGAAAACCTTCCACCTAAATGCTCTAAGGAGTCTAAAACTTTTTTGAATTTGGTACAATTATAGAGAAAAGAGGTACTAATATCTTTCATAATTACATGAAAGAGCTAAAGAAGATATGGTGGTTTCCTGAAATAAGGTCTAATCAACTCAAAACACTGATAAAAATGTACAAAAGAAATAATGGGTTTCCGTGCTGAAATAACTCAAATGTAAAGCATGCTACTCAGAAATAATGTAAGAATATCATTTTTAAAGTAGAGCAAGAGCAAGACTCTAGTGCTCTTTATGAAAAAAAAAACACTTTTACATGATCTTTTTCATTGTAATCTTAATCTAGAAATTGGATATGCATACTGTCTAGATTTTTACTGTGCTTCAAAATTAAATCCCAGCATATTTGTAGTTAGTTTTCTATATTTAACATGTCATAAAACATCTTTTTGGGAATATACTGCGATACAGATAATAATTTTTCCTTATCTACATCTCAAGTTAATGACCTTAAACCATTTAGTGTGGAACATCTTGCTGGAAGATGTAAAGAGATAAATGTTTTTTTAAAAAAATCTGGCAATATTATTTTTAATTATTTATGTAAAAGTTTTACGGCTGCCCATCTTATGAGACATGACTCAAGCCATTTAACAGTTATAATAAAAACAGAAAAATAAAACAATCCAACAAACAAGAAATATTGTTGCCAAACCAACAATATCTATTCAACTATATAGTTTCCAGGCTTCAACCTTGCTATCTCAGTGCCTGGGGGAAAAGCCAGCTCTTAACAGCTTTCTCTAAAACTAAGAGGTTTTAGGAAAACCTTAGAGAAAAAGATCTATAAGTCTACATACAAGAGAAAAAATATCTTTTTTAAAATAGATAATTTAAAATTATAAATTGCTAGGCTGGGGGCAGTAGAGGTGATGCAAGAGATTTATACACATCATGTAAGATATGGTCAAGAGGATTTCTTATTAACAAGATGGATTTGACACATACTATATTTGTGGTTCTTAAAACTGGAAGAGAGCTGATGATTTTGGAACGGCTACTGATTCTAAAGAGCTGGAGTTGATATGATGGAGTCATAGTGACTTGTGTACCGATTATTTTCCACAATGAGCGTCAAGATTTAACACCTCTGCAAATCATAGCGATAGTATCTTCATATAGAGGAAAATACTAACTGGTCTTCCACAGTCTGATTATGTGATAAGGGAAAGTTTGTCTGCAAACTGGGTGGAACAGCCAAAGTAATAATTACCTGGATCTGAATTGTACGGTAGAAAATATTCACAAGGTTTTATGAAGTGGTAGAGAAGTTTTAAAAACTTGCCATGATTCAGAGTCAGCAGGGAAATATAGTTATTGTGCTGTAGGGTATTGTGGAGTTCTAGTGCACAAAGCCCGCAGGAATGTGATTTGGATACTTTGAAATTATAAGAACACCAGTCAGTTAACATCTTGGCAAACAAAACCAAAACCGAAGTATCATGTATGTTAAGAAGCATTACCAGAGAGGGGTGTAAGAGTTCTCTGTCCAAACCAGCACTTTGGCTCTGGAAACCATCTTAGATGAGAGAACAGAGGCTAAATTTTCACATCTGAAACTTAAATTGAATTTGATTCTCTTGCACATGTTTAGACTTCTGGATTGAAAATAAAGAACATCTCTTCTTTATGTCTGATTACTATTGTATTAGAGTATTCAGAAATATTATTTCAAATGCTTTTTAGAATTAGATAGCTCTCCCAGAAATGGAAGAAGCACTGGAGAAGACAAAAGTGGATTGCTAGATTAATGTCATGGTTAAAAATGGAAATGGCTTGGAAAATGTTGCAACTGAATCTTGAGGTAAAGCCTTTGGAAAGCCTTGAGCATGATGTAAGTACTGATTGTGACGTTACTAAATTTATTACTGGTGCAGCTGCCTAGGAGATTAAGGAAGCTCTCTAAAAATCAAAGAACAGTTTCTCTGGCTTGCTTAACCTAGCTTTTGGATGTAATACCTGAAAAGGGTAGTTCAACCTGTGGGCTATTGGGAATAATAATTTAAGTACTATAAATTATATATATATCAGAGAATAAATGTGATTATCTGATTCTGCATTAAATTCAATAAAATAACCCAGAAATATTTGTTGATATTTAATACATAATTTTAAAAAAAAAATTAAATAGTATATTTATTAATAGAAGCAAAAAAGAAAAAAAGCAATTTGAAAGGTAAATGTACCATCATTAATATAACTAACCAATCAAAACTTTCTTTAAGGAAAAAAGCACATTTACCTAGATGTCAGTTCAGCAGCCTTTTATTAACTTTGTGTTTACAGTACTGGGTATTTTAAAACATTTCCTAACAAAGCATATATCCTTTTATTAATTCCTTCAAAATGCTACATTAAATCCGTCTTTCACCAGTAATCCTTTGATTCCACCTTTTTGTAGAAAGAATACTGCTTTGAAAAAAATAAATTAAAAAACTGAAAATTTACAAATTTCTCTCCTATTTCACCTTTATCTTTGATATTATTTTTAGCATTGTAAATATTGCATTTTACTTTGGGTATATGTTTTTTATTTCTTTATTTATTTATACAAATATTTGAGTGCTGCTGCATTCTAGAGACTCTAAGCAGTTTGTAATTATTATAAAATCAATGAATAAAATCTCCAAACCCAACAAAACAACAAGCCTAAGCTAACCAACATTTCAGTTTAAATAATAAAAACAGTTTTGTGGCATCTTTAAGCCTAATCATTTTAGGCTTTTTTTTTTATTATAAGTATATTATAAGAGGTTGGGTGATAGTAAGAGCATCATTCCCTTACTCCTGCAATTTTGAATAAATCTAAAATTATATAACTGGAGCAAACTATCACAAAAATAATTTGATCTGAATACATAAAAATTCCATCTGTTTTATTTTCCATGGACACTTCCACACTCTAATGTACAGAAATGTGAATAGTGGCATCATCATTTAACAGGTATTCCATCTACCCCCACCCAACAGGACAACATCAGTCTAGCTAACTTTAAGTGATTTCCTTACTCAATATGTAATACAATTGCAATACATAATTTAATTTTATAGAAACCATTAAACAACAAATGATAGATGTACTAAAGGGACATAATTTTGTCAGAATATATATTATTAAGCATCTAGAATTGTAATATACATAAGAAATATTTGTTTATGGACCATGCCAAATATCTCAAATGAAAAGAGCAGTTGATCACCATACCATAAATATTTCTAAACAATAATATTCTGGTATGAGAGCAGAGTTTGCAAAAATAAAGTGAACAATACCAACCAAATTAAGACCACAAATAGGAAGATGAGCAACTTGCCACAAGGATAACAGTGAGTCCTGTTTTTGATGCCCTAAGACATACTCTAATCTTCCCAATCATCTCTAAATTTGAGGGTGATAAATTTTAAATTTATTACTTTTTAAGAGATACTAACTCTACGCTCACATACAAGGTGGCCATAAAGTTATACAATTATGCAAAACATTTAATTACATATGTTGGCTTATTGACTCATTGTCCCTGTCCCCCACCCAATAACAAATTGTCATATTAAATTGTTGTTGTTATTCAGTTGCTCAATTGTGTCCGATTCTTTGTGACTCCATGGACCATAGCATGCCTGTCCTCCACTGTTTCTCAGAGTTTGTCCAAATTCATGTTCATTACATCTGTATTAAATTGCCCTTTTCTTTTACTGTATAGGCTGGTAAAAGATTATAATAAGATGTTTGATTTTATTTGCCTTAAGGATTTGCAATATTTTCTACCCTGAAAATCACTACCAAAGAAAGATCTCCATGTCTGAAGATAAACAGGAACACTGCAAAGTAGCCTAGAGACAAAATACAAACTTCTTTGTGTAGTCAAGTAAAATAAATTCTATGTTTCTCAGTTGTTTAATAAAGGTATTTTTATTTCTTTAAGAAACAGAATATTCATATTACATCAAATACACAAGTTCTGAAGCACTATATATATATATAAAAACTCAATATTAGTGTTTGAGAAATATTAATGGTTTAAAATAGGAAAATGAACTATCTCACCTCTGGTGTGACATCTCTTGGTGCAAATCCTGTTCCTCCAGTTGTTAAAATCAAGTTGAGTTCTTTTTCATCACACCAGTCTATCAGTGTCTCCTGAAAAATGCAAAACAAAATTAGCAGCTGTTCTTTGTTCATAGAGTTTTATTTATTGGTTTAATTAATTTAGAAAATATATTTGCCATCCATCTCATATCCAACAACTCTGGGCAACAGAGTTTTGCAAAGCTCTCAGGCAGCATGGTGCCATGACTCTTTAAAATTATATTAGTTTGTGTGACACCTTTCTAAGAATGATACTGATAGTTGCAAAATGAGCTGAGTGTACATGTTATTTTTACCAGCAGCTATCCAAATGCTATATTTTGGTGCTATATTTTCTTCCTGGTTCAGAAATGCCCGTCCCTAGCTGCATCATGTCGGCAGTGTACCATATACAGCATGTGATTCTTCCATCCTGCCTTTCCCAGATGTTAAAGTTTCAGAGTTACTGGATTCTCTATCTACCTCCCTTTCAACCTATATGGCCATGAAGAGATACCGATACCACATACCAAGTTGTAGGGGCCTGGTGGATCAGCAGACTGAAAGCATTGTGATTAACACCAGCTGTCTGCAATTACTGTAAGTTCGAATCTCACCAGGCTCAAGGTTGACTCAGCCTTCCATCCTTTCTAAGGTAGGTAAATTGAGGACTCAGTTTGTGGGGGCAATAAGCTGACTTTGTATAAATATACAAAAAGTATGAAGGCTATTGCTTAACACATTGTAAGCCGCCCTGAGTCTCCAGAGAAGGGCGGCATATAAATCAAAATTTAAAAAAAAAAAGTTCTCCCATAGATGACCTGTTAGAGTTATCACATTGGTTAATTCTGGCCTTGAGTGCATACGCTAAGGAGATTCAATTTTGCCAACATTGAGAAAATACAAGTTTCTCAATTCCCACCCTAAATAAAATCTCCAGAATAAATAGCAATCAGAATTTATCTCTGTTTATTTATCTCCTTTTTATAGAAGCAATAGGAACCAGGATTTATGTCTCCTTAGTTAATTTTATCTTCTCATTAGCACTGTAACACAAACAATGCAATATCTTGTAACTTTTTGCAACAATTGTATCAAAAGCCATCTATGTGAAATTTTAGCAAGCTGGAAGGGGCTGCAATTCACTATTGTCATCTGAAACAGTCTTCAAAAATAAGATACATATTATACTGAAATATACAATATACAATATATTAAGTGATGGAGCATATAATACAGTTTTGGTTATAAACAACATAAGCAAATATATATTGTTTATGGTTATAAACAATAATTGTATCTTTAAATATGATTATAAATATTACTTTATTGTGTTAAAGGATGTATAGAAGTTATATTCTTCTAAAATTCCAAAAAGAACTTATGAAGTTTGAAAATGTCCTGATAGCAACAGTAAATCCAATACTATCAATCTCCTTTGCCTGTATAAAAGGCGCTATTGCTAAATTCCCCAGAATATATTCCTTAGTTAGCTAGCGGTATGACCCAATGTTTCGCAGATGGGTAAGCAGTTTAACAGCTCTTGGGAATTCATAAGCCAAAGTGATTGAACTAGAGTAATAAATATAGAATTTCTATAGGAATCAAATAAATTAGTTTTGGAGTCAGCTAGGAAAGTAATGCCTCCAATCTGAGTACCAGTGTCATATATTGATTGACCGAATGGATTGTGACCTATCTATCTCACAGAATAAAATTAAGGGACATATTCATGCACAATACCATCCACCTTTAGGAAGAAAGTGAGATATAAACCATATTTCAGAGACATTGAAGAATTTCTGAACAGCAAATTGTAAGTATCTCAGAAAAGATAATACCTTGGGCCAATTTCTAAAAAAAAAAAAAGTATACATGGCAGAATTTTATATTGTGATGGCTTATGGGAATGACCTTGGGAGATAGAGAAAGGAGACACAACCAAGGGGATGGAGAGATAAAAGGCAGCTGAACCCAGACAGGATTGGGGGGGGGGAAGGGGCTCAAAAGAAACCCTATTTGTAATGATATGGAGGAAAGTCCTTGAGTAATGAGGGGAAGAGATGATGCCAAAATAATGATTAGACAGGATCTCCCAGTGCCTTAAAGGTCAGAGAAATGAACTCAGGAAGGACTGTCCTACTCAATCAAGCTGTTAAAAGTGACAGCAGGAGATTTATACTTTCAGACTTGCAAAATTCAGTTAAAGTAGCCTTATAATAATGTAGAATTAGCTCATCTAGTTGTATTTTGTGTCTGGTATATCTGGGATGGCTGACATTACTTTCTTGGGCTGAAAAGGAGATGTGGGGGAGAGATGTAAGAATTTCAAGTTTCAATTAATATAGCTTTATAATAAAATAGAATTAGCTCATCTACTTGTGTTTTCTGTCAGGTCTATCTTGTTAGGCTGACATATACAGAAGAGGAAAAACAATCAGGAACATCTTACTTTTCTGAAGCTGTAATATAAACCCCAGGTTTTCCTGTAAGTAATAATTCTGCATCAGTAGAATAAGAAGGATTAATAAAAGCACAGAGGAAGGAAGGAATCATGCTATTCCCTCAAAGAGAACTGAGATCAATGGAACAGCTAGTGTTCAGAAGTTGTGGGTTCTCCATCACTGGAGGTTTTTAAGAAGAGACTGGACAGCCATTTATCTGAAATGGTATAGGGTTGTGGTGGCAAACGTATGGCACGCATGCCAGAGGTGGCATGCAGAACCCTCCCTGTGGGCATGCACACTGTCACCCAGCTCAGCTCCATCACATTTCTTAGTCACATTTCTCACTATCGTTTGCAGGGAAACAAAAGTTTGTGGGACTAAAAAAAAATTCACTCAATCAATTCCAACTTCCCGCGAAAGAAAAAGATCTCGCGAAGTTTGAATTGATTGAGTGAATTTTTTCATTTGCGTGTTTCACAATGGGGGAGATGGGGTCCCCTTGTCCTGAAGCCCATTATGATGCGGAGCCACAATGCTACTCTGCGACATCTCAGCTTGTTCTGGCCTCCCGGATGTCGGTTGCTTTTTCCTGCAGAGCTGCCTGTGTTGGGATGCCCTGCCTCCCCACTGGCCAGCTGAGCTTTGGTGTGCTGCTTCTGGGCTCATCAGCCTACAGACGTCAGATTCTCACCACCCAGTACCAATTCAGGGGTTCCTTCCCACCCCCCATGGGGAGGGAAAGAGAGAGAAAGAGAGAGAGAGAGACGGAAAGGGAGGGAAAGAGAGAGAGGGAGGGAAAGAGAGAGGGAAAGAGAGAGGGAGGGAAAGACAGAGGGAAAGAGAGAGGGAGGGAAAGACAGAGAGAAAGAGGGGGGAAGAAGAGAAATAGAGAGAGAGGCAGAGAGGCAGAGAGAAAGTGAGAGAGAGAGAGGCAGAGAGATAGAGAAAGGGAGGGAGGGGAAGAGAGAAAGAGAGAGAAAAAAGAGAGAGAAAGAGATAGAGAGCGGGAGGGAAAGAGAGACAGAGAGAGAAAGAGAGGAAGGGAAAGAGAGAGGGAGAGACGGAGAGCGAGAGAAAGAGAAAGAGAAAGAGAGGGGGAAGAAAGACAGAGAGAGAGGGAGGGAAAGAGAGAGAGAGTAAAACAGAGAGAGAGGGAAAGAGAGAGGGGGAGGGAAAGAGAAATGAAGTTACAAAAGTTTTTCTTTTTTACTGTTGCTAAACGTAATATTTCAAAAGCTGAAAAAAAATGAAGGTGCATAAAAGTGCTTTTCTTAGAACGATTAGCTGAACTCTGCCTTGTTTATCATTATTTTAGGTAGTAAAACCTCAGTATTCAGGTTAAATTGCTGTGTTGGCACTTTGCGATAAATAAATGGGTTTTGGGTTGCAGTTTGGGCACTCTATCTCTAAAAGGCTTACCATCACTGGTATAGGGTGTCCTGCTTCAGCAGGAGGGGGTGGGGGATGACGACAAAAAGACCTCCAAGGTTCCTTTCAACTATGTTGTTCTGTTAATGGCAGTTAGAAAGATGTACTGGTATGAACTCCTTTTAAAGGCAAAAATGTAGGAAGGGAGTTCATATCACTACATCTTTCTATCTCTACCATTATCAAAATAACAGAACTGCATCGTCTCCACTTTTCTTTCTTTGGTGATCCATGACTGTGAAGTTGTTTTAGGGTGCTAAGTTGTTTCCACCTCTGCTACTAATTAGTAAATGTATTATTTTGTTTATATAAAAGCTCGGATTTCATTTTCTTTTTCCAATACTTTACAGAATATTTTTATAAACTCTACCATTTACTATTATCTGTTTCCAACTTTCCCTATCATCTCTGTCCTTGATTAAGGTAGTCCTCCATTTACAACCATTCATTTACTGACCAATCAAAATTACAAGGTCGCTGAACAAAGTGACTTATAACTGCTTTCAGACTTACAACCATTGCAACATCCCCAGCATTGTAATAGTCAAACACTGAAAGATGCTGCTAAGTGCAGCCAGCCCTTTTCTGTCTAGGACGGGAAGTATAAAACATATTGGCCAAATTGTCTTTTGGTGGAGCAATGGAAAAAACAGTTTTAGAAACAATAAAATAAGTAAGATCCTTCCTTGGAATTAGGCATATGCAATTAGCTTATTGTTCCTTACCATCTTTTTCAGATAAATTAATCTGCAAAAACAAATTTCGTGCAAATTGAGAAGGGATTGTCAAATTATTATTAAAAATTAATTGCAAACTTTTTTTTTATCACAAACTCTAAAATTATTATTGCTGAAATGAATGTGAAAAGGAAGTAATAAAGCCTAAATTCATATTCTTATTATAGGTCAATTAACTGTTTTTTAAAAACAAAAGCAAAAACTAGAACTATTTGCAAAAGAAGTTGTGCATTTCATTGATGCAGTAATATAAAACAGATTATGATCAGGTATTCTGGAGATGGCCACTCCTTACATTAAAAATACATTAAAATACGAGATATAGCTTCCCAACAAACAGGAAGCAGAAGGTGAAGCTAAGCAGAATCACATCAGATACCTGTACAATTAGCACAGCCCTCCCCCCCCAAGGCTGTGTGCTCTCTCCTCTTCTCTTCTCTCTCAATATACCAATGACTGCATCTCTAACGATCCATTTGTTAAACTACTGAAGTTCGCAGATGACACAACAGTGATCAGTCTCATTCGAGACAATGATGAATCCGCATACAGACGGGAGGTTGAACAACTAGCCTCGTGGTACGACTGGAACAATCTGGAACTGAATATGGTCAAAACCGTAGAAATGGTGGTAGACTTTAGGAGAAACCCTTCCATACTTCCACCTCTTACAATACTAGACAACACAGTATCAACAGTAGAGACCTTCAGATTTCTAGGTTCTACCATATTGCAAGATCTAAAATAGACACCTAACATCAAAAACGTCATCAAAAAAGCACAACAAAGAATGTTCTTTCTGCGCCAACTCAGAAAGCTCAAACTGCCCAAGGAGCTGCTAATACAGTGCTACAGAAGAATTATTGAGTCTGTCATCTGCATCTCTATAACTGTCTGGTTTGGTTCTGCAACCCAACAAGACAGACACAGACTTCAGAGGATAATTAGAACTGCAGAAAAAAAAATTGCTACCACCTGCCTTCCATTGAGGACTTGTATACTGCATGAGTCAAAAAAAGGGCTGTGAAAATATTTACAGACCCCTCGCATCCTGAACATAAACTGTTTCAACTCCTACCCTCAAAACGACGCTATAGAGCACTGCACACAGAACAACTAGACACAAGAACAGTTTTTTCCCGAACGCCATCACTCTGCTAAACAAATAATTCTCTCAACACTGTCAAACTATTTACTAAGTCTGCACTACTATTAATCTTGTCCTCGTTCTTATCACCCATCTCCTTCTAGTAATGACTGTATGACTGTAACGGCTTGTATCCTTATGATTTATATTAACTGTTTCCTAATATGATTTGATAGCTTATTTGTACCCTATGACTATCATTAAGTGTTGTACCTTATGATTTTTGACGAATGTATCTTTTCTTTTATGTACACTGAGAGCATATGCACCAAGATAAATTCCTTTGTGTCCAATCACACTTGGCCAATAAAATTCTATTCTATTCTATTCTATTCTATTCTATTCTATTCTATTCTATTCTATTCTATTCTATTCTATTCTCCCTTATACAATATCTATTGTATAACATGATTGGTTCAGAGACTACTGTATCAAAGCAAACATCACAAATTTATACAAAGTTCATATCTCCTATTTGGAATTTGATTTTCACAAATTAAAACTTAAATAAATTAAAAGACTCCTCCTTGCCAGTTATTTTTCCCAGCAGGGTTGCAAGCATTTGATATACAGCCCTATGATTATTCCCAGAACATTTAGGGCTAAAACAGCAATTATAGATTACAATGCACAAAAATAGCTAGCTTGCTTTTAGTTGGTAACTATTTCTTTCTTGTAAATTTGAGATGTTATTTTTCATTTATTTCAATATTTTAAGGATATGAAGTTTGCTTTCAATATCCCCAAAGGCAGGACTTTCTACTACATTTTAAGGATATAAGAATAGCTTTGTTAGAACTAAGCAAAAGTCTATCACATCCAGCATTCTAATATCCCACATATCCAACTAGTTGCCTATAAGAATACTACTAGTTTATACTATTATGTAAAAGTAAAAAGTGGAGGTTTGTTGCTATTATCTTATTCTACAGCACCAAAGGGAGTTGAAAGTCAATGCCTTTTCTCTCTTTTCTTTTTCCCTACACTTTTTCCTTCCCTTCTCCCTCCCTTACTATCCTACTATTTTCTTTTGTATTTTATATTATAAATTTTAAAAAAAGGAATATTACCGTGAATGAATAACCACCCCCATCACACACCAGTTTTTAACAATTTATATTAAGGATCAAAATATTTCTGACACCGAGGAGAATCTACAGCATCATAATAGAACCTGATACTTCACAAATCTATGTACATCATTTTGAAATTAACTGTAGATTCCTAAAAGGCAAAGATGAATGATTATTATCACCATTTTATAAAGATTCTTAAAATCACAGAAAGGCCAAAACAGAAAATGAAAGATGTCACTGCCTAGAGTAAACTAGAGGCATTCATTGTACTATAATCAGACTGCTACCTAAAAATCTCTGTTCCAGAGATCCATCAAGTAAGGGAAACAAGAGTAAAACATTTTGAAGTAATATTTTTTGACACAAATGTACTTTTCAGATCTTGAAGACATAAAAGAGGATAATTTCCTGTCCCCATCCCCCTAAAATGTAGGGATGGTGAAGTAAAACTGAGAGTAAAAGTTTATTTCTCAGATCCTACATAGAAGTGATTTTATCACACACCTCAGCAACAAAGCCTGCATCTTATTTATTTTTATTATAAAACTGCCAAATATCTAAATCTAAATATTTATTATAGAATTGCCAGATATCTAAACCAAATTACTGTTACCAAATTAAGGAAGTTCAACATGCTTCCACCAGCAGAGGCAATACCATATAAAGGTATCCCATTTAAACTCAGACTTTACTCATGTTTTAAAGGAGCCAGTAAATAGCATGTTTTATTATACTGACCATTTTGGATCAACACTCATCATGAGCTGTTAACTACATGTCTAATTAAATATTTCAGACTCAAATTATTCAATTTCCTGAAGCATGGCCAAATTTTGTCATGAAATAGGTAAGATGCACAGCAGTTTGGCTCATCTGTTAACTAATTGGTTAATTCATATCAATTTTATGTATGCAATGTGTTTTATGGACTGACCATAAAAAAGATTATTCTTTTGTGGGAGGCTGAAAAAATCACCATAACTATCTTTGTGAGAAATTCTTTAGCCTGAGGAATGAATGAATTAGAAGAAGAAATATTAATGGTGTATCAGAAGATTGACAATTATTTGCCACATTCAGTTACTGAAATACACAAGTTGGAATACTAATAGCATTAGAGTCACAGGGCTATGGATGATATTAACAATATTTCAAATCATTCCCAATCTGTTGTTTTCTTCATTTTCTGAAATTTGCCAAGTATCTTTTTACTAAAAACCTTTCCTTCACCACTGGAAAGATGATCTTGTGGTTACGGGCTTACTAAACCACCTTCATAATTCATGAAGAATGACTGCCATGAAGTGCTTCCTGAATAAGTAAGCAGCCATGTATCTTTTTCTAGTCTTATACAGCTGATTCAGAAGTCGATCCTAGCTGTCTTTGCATCAGTGTAACATGTATATTGCAATAGTTTCTGAATCAACTGTGTATGTCTGGAAAAAGATGTTGCTATTTTAATGAGTCAGAGAATCAAGAAGTGCTTCATATACACTCTTCCATACATTTCAAAAGATTTGCAGACCCCTATTCCTTGCCATTGTATGGTTGATCTATGAGCACCTATTATCCTGTATTAGGGTTCACTTAATAAATCAAGTGGAATAAACAGTCCAGAATCTAAAGCCACTAAAGTGTATTTATAGTAGGCAATAGGACAGTCAAATCTGTATGTATGGTAAAATACAACTTGCAACGACAAATATATTGCTTTAAAAAAAAAGTATCAGCAATGAAGAGCTAAAAGGTTCAGCAACAAGTCAGGAATTCTACAAAGCTATGAACATTTGGAGACAAACACCAGTGTCAGATTGTCAGAAAGTTGTTTCAGAGCTCAGTTGCTTTCAGGCAGATACCTAATTGATGGAACCTCCTGGCCTCCACCTAAATATAACTGATGATGAACAGAACTAAGTACAGAAAATGAGGTGTTAACAATAACATTATATTTTCTGCTTTCTGATATTTGATATTTTAAGGAGTCAAGTATTCTTCTGAGAAAAATTCCTCTGGAACAGATGTGGTCGGTCTCCTGTCCTCTCCTTATCCAGAGAGGTTTCAAAAAAATTGGTCTGCTAACTGGTTCTTTAGACTGTTGACAGTTCCACATTCTCAGAGACCACTTCAGTTTGCCATACCTGCTCTAGAAGCCTCAGAATACGTTAATTTGTAATTGAACTATAACGTTAATCTATTTTTTTGTCTTTAAATATATGAATGTATCATGAAAACCAAAGCACTTTTTCTTATACTTTTTGTAGCACCCATATAAGCAACTATCTCAGAATTTAAAACTGAACACAACTTCAACTTTTGATTTCCCTCATTTTTATGATTATGGAAAGAGAAAAGCCCTTTCCAGAAAAGAATTGGCATTATTGTGGTAATTATTATCAGTAGCTTAGTCCTTCAAAGTACCTCCTACTTCACAAGTCTATTACACAAATCTCCAAAGCCTGTATGTATGGTAAAATATATAACATGCAATTACAAATATATTGCTTTTGTTTTAAAAAAGTTCAAATATGATTATGTAAATGGCTTAATGACAAACTAGTTCCCATCTGGTTCTTCCCACTCTCAACTATTATCTAATTGCATCTATTTTATTAAGCTACAGCAGAAAGAAGTATCAAGAGAGGGCTATAACCTGGTAGGTTTTTTGGCTCTCATCTTGAATTGTTTCCACTGTGGGTGCTGAGCTTGTTATCTTCTTTTCTTCACATCTTTTTTTTTGTGCTTCTTTTATATTGTGAAACAAAGGGAAAGAAGAAAATTACATTCGTTGATCTTTACAGAAGTTGCTTTGGAATACTCTCAGCTTTATATAAATAACTATAAATATGTATTTGTTTTTAATTAGTTAATTTATACCATTTATATTTTATTTATAAATATTCATTTACCTTGGGTGTCATATTTGGCCCAGTCAAATGTAAAAAGACAGTTAAACTAGACTTCTGCAGCTATTAGAGTAATTAATTTGATTGAATGCCAAATGATTATGGGTTTGTCAATTGGACATAATCCCATTCAGATATAAAATGATTTGAATGATTTCATCAACATATTTAATTCAATAAAAAGTTAAAGCATAGACTAATGAGGAAGCTGCAGTTATTTCATTATTTGACAGAATGGAATGAAAGCAACAGGGATGGTAAACCCTTTGGAATATGTTAACCCTGCAAAGTCTTGATTTATTAAAAGAAAACTGTTAAGAGGATTCAAGGATTTTATTGCAGTACATTTTGAAATATTGCCTCTATATCATTTTGAGGACAGGATAGCAAAAGCAAGATAAAAGATAGTACAGCAGCCTTCAAATTGTCCAGAAATGACTATATAGATAAGTTGCATTGAACAAATACTCAAAATGCCTTATACTAACATTAAAGCAAACAAACACTGAAGTTTTTTTAAGAAGTGGGAAGTTATTAAAATTACTCTTTGATTATTATGTTTTCTGGGCTGATATGTCTCTTAGTAAAACCCACTTATAGATAATTTGGAGAATATGCTCTGAAACATTTTTATATACTACTGTTTTATAATGTTATACATACATTTGTAGTATTTTACATTTTATAACATAATATAGTATTGTGTGTGTAATCATTTTGATACTATAAAGGACTGAGTTGGAGAAGTGGGAATCAGAATTTCTCCTATTAGTTTTATTTTATTTATGTACAATTTTAGTTAGGTTTGACACACTTTTCCCAATCTCAACACTAGGGAGAGAATGGGTAATTTTGGTCTAGAACAGGGGTGTCAAACTCGCAGCCAGTGGGCCAGATGCATCACACACTGGCCATTCCCACTCCCGTTTTAGCGAAGGGGAAAAAATCGTGATACGTCACATGACGACAATGTGATGGTGTGAATTTGACACCCCTGGTCTAGAACTTAAGAATGTAGCTAGCTAGCTAAATAAAAATATTTTTTTCTGTTCTGCAGAGGCAAATGTTCTATATACATAACTTCTGTCTTGTCTGCAATAAAGTAGCTGGTTTACCTACATTGGGTCTGTGAATTTCTGCTGGAAACAAGTTACGAATACTGGGTTCAATGTCTAGAAACTTGGGATTTAGTATAAAACCTGACAGAGATAAACAAATATCTGCATAATATATGCTAATATATGCAATAGCCTAACAACAAGCAAACTATTTCAGACTCGCACAATGAATCACTCTGAACTTCTTTTGCTTTTACTCTGCAAGTGAACATAGTTACACAAATTCTATCAGAAAAATAAGATCTCAACAGAAAAGCAGTACTTCCTCAAACAGTCCAAGAGACACGTTTTATGAAGGGGGCGTTGGTCCTACCTGAGAGGCTCCTTCTCGTTGTGTGGAGACAGCAGCCAGTGTGGGTAGCACTCGCCCAATCATCTGAAGGACTGAGTCAGCCAATAATGTTAAAGCCCGCCCTTGTTGCCGGGCAGGTCCAGCTTTTGACGAAGGACTATAATGGCAGACTCGGCGTGTGGGTAGGCAGAAAGGAAAGACTCAAGAAGGAAGGCAATAACAGGACCAGACAGGCAAAGGGAGGGTCTGGCTGCTGTCTCCACACAACGAGAAGAAGCGTCTCAGGTAGGACCAACGCCCCTTCTCCATTGTTGGTGGAGACAGCAGCCAGTGTGGGACATACCCCAGTTCACTGTCCCAAGGTCTGGGAGGGGCCAGGCTGGTCCAAAACAACTTTCCCAGCCACAACCCGCTGCAACACCTGACGGCCAAACACCGCCTCAGCCGAAGTGAACTTGTCCAGTTTATAATGCCGGATAAACAGCGCTGGCGAGGTCCAGATAGCCGCCCTGCAAATCTCCCACAAGGGAGCCTGAGTAGCCCAGGCTGCCGACGTGGCCGCGCTGCGTGTGGAATGAGCCGTCACCTGGGAAGGACGTGGCAGAGAACGAAAGTCATAAGCCGAAGCGATGGTCTGTCGAATCCAGCGGCCTATTGTAGAAGATGACAATTTGAGACCCAAGGAAACAGGAAGGAAGGAGACAAACATAGCTTCCGATCTGCGAATGTTGGCAGTCCGCTTGATGTAAATCCGCAACGCCCGCCTGACGTCTAAGGTGTGCCAACGTCATTCACGGGGATGAGACGGTCGTGGGCAGAAGTTAGGTAGGATAAGTTCTTGTGAGCGATGGAAAACGGAATTGACCTTCGGCACGAACGTAGGATCCAAGTGTAGAACAACGCGGTCCGCGTGAAATACACAGAGGTTGGCTCGGATGGATAAGGCCGCCACCTCTGAAATACGACGAGCTGAGGTCACGGCCACCGGAAAGGCGACTTTACAAGAAAGCAACCAAAGAGACGTCGATCGCAGCGGTTCATAAGGAGGACCCATGAGGGATTCGAGAACCAATGGAAGGTCCCAGGTAGGTAATGATGCAGGACCGGAGGTGACAGGTTTGTGGCGCCCCGCAGAAAATGTCTAATCAGAGGATATTGAGCCAACGATGACAGCGAACCGCAGGTAAGTACCAAAGAAATGGCAGCAACCTGGCGACGCAATGTGTTGGGCGATAGACCGTCGGAGAGACCACGCTGTAGAAAAACAAGAATGTCCACAATAGATGGCTGGAGAACGTTAACACCGGCCCGGTCACACCATAAGCAGAAGGACCGCCAGGTCGACGAATAGATACAGTCCGTGGAGGGGTGCCTAGAGGCCTGGATCGTCCGAATAACCTCACCTGGAACCCGAGCATCTGTCAAGGAGAGCCGCTCAACCTCCAGGTGGTCAGACTGAGCCAAGGAAGATCTGGATGACTCAACGACCCTTGTGTCAGTGCGTCTGGTTCGAGAGGAATGCGCCAGGAGGGAG